CTCGACGTCGGCTTGTCTGTTCTCTACAGTGGGGTTTTGTAAGAAGGTTCTGTGTGCCTTGATCTTCTGCGAGCAGTGTCACCCGATTTGTTAAACCAGCCGTTGGACCCTGGTTTAGGCATTTTCACTGTGTGAGGGATGTATTCCTCCATTCCGACGTGGATAACTTCGGTTATCGAAGAACAAACAGCCGACGCATCCGCGTCAGTGAAACAGACATATCTCCAAGGAAAGGTAGAGAGGAGGTCTCTTAGCCCCTCCCAGTCGGCATGTCCGTAATGTCAATTTTTGCGGCCTGTACGAGTTTCTGCAGTCACAGCGGGTTCTGACCGAAACCTAACCTAACCGACACCGTGGTCTGACTCACCCAGGGGGACAGGACAGCAGTGCTGTAAGGGACAGGATGCGTGGTCAGAAAAGGTCCAGCAGGCTACTGACATGTGACGGAACGCGGGGGAAAAAGTAGGGCTCGTCACCAGCTGGGTCAGCCCTTGAGTAAGAGCGAACGCTTCGACTGCACGAGCTGCTGCATCGGTCTTGTTTTGAGCCCAACCGAAGCTCATTATGGGCATTGAAATCACCAAGAAGAACTACCTCTGAAGCGGGGTGATTGATGTTCAAGAAGTCGATCTTGACGGCGATGTATGCAAGTAGTTCAACCCAGTTATGGTCCGAGGGAGAGCGATAAAGGCAGCAAATAAATTTGGGTAATGTTTTTGAGTTGAGACAAAGCCACAGAATGTCCTTCCGGTATGATTCTAAAGAAATATCTCTGGAGCATGAAATACTGCTGCTTACAAAAGCCACAACTATCTTTCTCAGATTGGAATGCACCTCGTAATTTGGGAAGTTAAGATGGTTAATCGGTGCAGACTTTGAGATTTTTGCCTCCGTCAAGAAAAGCATGGCGGGACGATTAGATTGCAGGTAGAGATGAACAGCATCAATGTTGCTGTTAATTCCGCAGATATTCGTAAAGCAAATTTTACCTTCGATGTTCTTCCTTCGAGCCCACCCTCCAACCGGACATTCTGAGGGTGGAGTGAGTTTACGTCCGGAATTCTTAGTGCTCGAGGGATCCGTCATCATTAATTTGTTTGTTTTGGTAGATAACCGACTGCATAGCTTAGGTTTGGGAAAATCCAGCCGGTGGTACCGCCTCGGTCGACTGGTCCTTGTTTACCACTTTCTTTTGGCGTGTTATTGATATTAAATAGACCTAAAGTGGCCGTTGGCGGACTCGTACCGCTGGTACTGAGGTATTCCTTAACGCGCGTACAATCACTTGAACGGGAAGAAGTTGTATACTGGATACAACAACTTCTAGAACAAGCATTTTCCACGGCGCCGCTCAGTAGGTAATTAAAACAAAAAGTTGCTGTTTACTAAACATACTCGCTGTTGCGGATGCGCTCTTCCAAAACATCGTATGCAGGTTACTGTCCTGGCTCGGTGGTACGGTGGTGTGTACCCACGAGGCGGCGTGGTGGAACTAGAAAGCGATTTCAGTTATCTTACCGATCTGGTTGTTCCATTGGAATGCCGCCAGATGGGGCTCCAAGGCAGCTTGAGAGGACAAAGAAGCAGTGGCGTGGGCAAGATTGAATTTGCCTCTAACAGTCGATCCTGAAAGTTGGGGCAGCTCATGATGCAGACTAATCGCTTAGGTTGCCACCACCACTTTTTCTTTTTTTCAAGTTGTTGCTTAGTAAACATACTTGCTGTTATGCCCTCATCCGAAAAATCGTATACAACATTGATGTCGAATTCAATTCCATAAAGCAGAATGATTATGCTTCAAATTGGTATTGCTACTGCATATCAGCGAAAAACAATGACGCATTAATTTTGAATTGCTGTCCATTAGGCTCACATTTAAACCCAAATATGAGTGTAATACACTATTCAGAATATACGGGAACGATACAGCTGTAAATATGGTGTACCTACATACATGGTGCTCTGATCCATGAAATAACATTAACAGTCAAAAAGGCATATTTTCATGAGCTTAGGACTCACTGGTTCCAGTTTTTTTTTTCAAGCAAAAATTAATAGCCTTGCATGTTTAGATTGAAAAAAAGTGTGTTTTTCGCATGAGCGTTACTCAATCATGTGGAAGCATTACGTGGAGCATTTTGGCGTTTTTAAAAATTGATATCCATATAGATTTTGTTATGTTTTATCTGATTTCCAAACTGAAAATATAGAAAGCTTCGGAAATAAATTGGACATTTGTGTCGGGATTTGTGCAATATTATTGAACAGAGGTGAAGCTATTCCATATACCGAGCCGCAATTCAATTCATTTTTATTTTGAAAAGTAGTAGTCACCCTTTTATGTTTTATATGCATCAGAGAAATTTTCTATTTACTATACTAGTTCATATCGATACGCGCAACTGACATTTTTGAAGACTTTCACTTTTTCAGCGATTTGGATTTTTTATATCGGAGCAGCCGCGTGCGTATACAGAAGCTTAATACCGGCTGCTATCAGGAGCTTAAAATTACTTTGTTAATTCGATTTTTGACCTGCCTAGTATAATAGGTAGACTGTTGCACAATCTTGACAGCCTAGGAACAATGGAACTGTCATAAAGCTAAGCGTTAAATTGTAGAGACAAATTCTCATAAAGATTTCTGCACCTTTTGGTTTGGGACATATAGTCCTAAGTGCCCGAAGGCAGGCATTCTTGATTTGATTGCGATGCGCTTTAATGGATCGTATCGTGTAGAGTTTGAGACTCAAATTAAATAAAAAAGGTTTTTTTAAGCTCCTCATAGCCGCGCTCACATTTAGGCTTCTACCTGTACGGCTGCTTCGGTGTAAAAAAATAGGCAAGTGTCCATACCACAATACGTGTTCAAAGGTAGTGAATAGCTAATTAAGTTGAGCAGTTTGTTTTTCTAAATATTTCGGTGTTATCGTTCTTTTTGGACAATCTATATCAGTGGTTGCCAGCCCGTCGATCGCGAGCTACCGGTAGCTCGCAAAGGCGATTCGGGTGGCTCACAACATAGGTACATAAAAAGATGTAAAAATCATAGAAGCTTCCATAAATTTTGTAAATTCTCATAATAAACACAAGCAGCGGCAATACTGCGGTGAGTAATCTGTTCGAGAACGATCTCGATTACTTTGAACGGAATAAATATGCAAGGTATGGCGACAGTGCGCTCAGTTTAAAACTGAACGACACAAAGTCCAGCGGTTGGACTAGAGTTGGCCTGAAGTTGAAAACGTTATGAGCAGTAGTAAGAAGATGAAAACATACCATTTCTATTCGGAATGAGAAGTACAATATTTTTTTACCGAAGTTAAAGGTAAAAATGTATGTTTGTTATGTAATACATCTGTTTCCGTTGCTAAAAAAGGGAATATCGAGAGGCACTATAAATGTGCACATTCGAATTTTAAAGAATCATTCCTATTACGTTCTGCAACCAGAACGGAAAAACTGAAACAATTAAAAAATCAGTTAATTGGACAACAGACAATGTTTTTAAAAACAATTGACAAAAGTAAGGCTGCAACTGCAGCATAAAGCAGGCGTTTTCAGAAGCTGCAGATTCATTATTTGCCAACTTTATAAATAAAGACGAGCTGCTGCTGAATGAATCTACAGATGTCGTTGACACCTCTCGGATGGCCGTGTTCGTCAGGATGGTTTTTATCGATTTTACGATTAAAGAAGTTTTTTTGAAGTTTATTCCACTAAAAGGACATGCTACTGTGCAGGATTTGCTTTCTTTTTTTAAATATATAATTTTTTCTAAGAAAATTCCAATATCGAAGATAGTAGACTTGACAACCGATGGCGCTCCAGGTATAGTGGGTCGTGAGATGGGTCCCGTAGGGTTATGTCGTGAAGATGAATGAAAGTTTTCCGCAATTTCTCGGTTACCGGTGCATTGTCCATTAGCAATCATTATGTGGACATTTCCTAAAACTAAACAGCGTTATGAAATTGGTAGTAAAAATTGTGAACAAGATTAGAGCTCAAGTGTTACAAAGAATATTATTCAAATGAAATTGACTGTCAATACGGGGAACTTCTTCTTTTCTCGGAAGTCCGATTGTTGAGAAGGGGACGAGAGCTGAAACGTTTTAGATATATCATATCTGTCATAGCTCAATTTTTCAAACAACGTGATGAACCGATTCCGGAAGTGGAAAATTCAATCTGGTTTAGATATTTCGGTTTTCTTGTGGATATTTCAGAAAAATTAAATGAACTTAATGTCCTGTTCTTTCCGCAAATATTAGAACCATACGACAGTGAATATCATGTAGAAATAGTCTCTAACTTGAAGGATCGTCTCAAGGATTTCAACGAATCTGCTATAGCCGCAGAATTTTAGCGAAGACATCGCTGCGACAGAGATGTGATTGCGTTTCAAAATGATCTAGCTTTAAAATGATTAGTCTCAAATACAAAATGTATCTGGCCTTGAGTAAGTTAAGATAAATATTCAGTTTTGTTGTGTTGCCTTGAAAGTGAAAGTTATTTAGTTCAACGTATTTGTGTGAATTTTCAAATATGAAGTTTATTGAAAACAAATACCGTAATCCACTTACAGATAACATTTGGATAATTGTATTCGAATGGCGGTATCAAATTATACTCCAAACATTAAAAAAAAATTATTAGTATGTATTAGTATTAGTAAAATAAACACATGTATGTGTAGGCAGCAGCGGTGGCCGCAGTAGTAGACTCTTTGGTCTCCTGATCAGTCGCCGTGCGCTTTGCGGGTTCGAATCCCGTCCCAGGAGATATTTTTCTCTTGGCTATGCATGTTGTTATTGTCCGTAGGTGGTAGACGGTTTCTGACTGTCGAACGCGGAGGTACCACCCGGCGGATCTCGTAGGCGGAGCCAGAATGTGTGCATGTTGCATGCACACGTGTTACCGCGCCAGAGTCCGTGTGGCGTTCCCCCTTTCCCCTATATCCTCCTATAGCCCCTCGGTATCCAATGGGTGTTTAGGCCTTAGGTAGTTGGAATATAAAATACAAATGCATGTCGCATACAACTGTGTATAATTTCATTCAAGTTGGCTTACATTGCTCACGACTAGGTAGCTCACTGTTTATTCCAAAATTAACAAAGTCTCTCAACACACTGAAAAGGTTGGCACTGACCTGTAACAGGATCTTCGTCCAAGACTCCCAGACCTCTCAATGTCGGGCCTTGAATATATAGTTCGGATCTCCAGTCCAATACTTCAACTTCTGGACTGGTCCGAGACCCCTCGAATTTCAAATTCTGTTACCTTTTACTTGTCTTCCTATAGGAGGTAGACTGGCGTAGAACCTGGCATAAAGTAGTATAATCTTGACTCATTGAAACACTCACTTTACGCGAAATGATGCTTCCTCTGTTGTCCAAGTAATCAGAGAATACACTCGTGAAGAGTGAAGTAGCAATGACAAAGAACAGTTAACTTCGTCAAAGGGGAAAAGATCACTGGAGGAGTGAGTTACGACTAAGTTAAAAGGAACGGTAACAACTAAATTACAATAAATTTAAGTTTGAACCTAATAGCAAAATTAAACTCTAGAATCTCAACTTTAAAATGCTAATTAATCAAGCTAATGCATAGAATCCTTAGTTGACTCGGTGTTAGCTTTAGCCAGAAGGGCTAATAAAGAAGGGAAAAGCCCCCTTTTAAGTAACTGGAAGTGCTTACTGATGAGAACACAACTTGACACAAATTCTACCAATGCAGCATTTATTAACAGCCACTAACTGAGGGAAAATCGAAGCAACTTTTTCAACCGTACAAATCAAAGATAAGACAAGAACTGAAGTTTTTAGTTTCAAAATTATCGGAGGTCAGTTGCGGATTTTTCCCTCCATCAGAAGGCTGGTCATTTTGACTTAGTGAGTTCAGCCCTTGTCTCCTCATTGGTCGATCAGTTTACAACCCTTGCAATGGGCGTCTGATTCTCTAAAGATGGAAACTAACTAATAAACTAAAACTAATTGTTAGACTTAATTTTTTAACTCAAAAGGACCTTAAACTCTATTGGTTAATTACGCTCCCTTGTCCCACCTCAAGGAGTGTCGTCAGCGTACAGTCTTCCCTTAAGTTTACGCAATACGCCCCCTTCAGTGGCGTCTCGAGGCTTTAATTGCTTTGGGCCAAACCCTGCAGTTTTCAATAATTTCAATGGATTCTGAATTCTTGTAATGCTGAGGCCACAATTCGAGATGTCCTCTTAAATAATTATAAAATTATACATAGCATTTAGGTAAAACTAACTCTCTTCTGGAATTTTTTTATATATTTTTAACAAAATTGGCTTCATTGGAACTACGCAGTCTTTCGTTAGTTTCACTTGCTCCTCTCTAATGATAATTTCCAAACCGCATCTGTCAACTCGTACGTTGACAGAAGGTAGAATCGTATCCAGCCTGGCGCACGTGCTCCTATCAGCTAGGGGAAAATTCTACTAAAAACCTAGCTGTTTGTCTCCTCTTTTTCATATTTTCCCACAATTATGACAATTTTTAGTAATATGCTAGCCTTCGGAAGTCTTAGATATCCCATGATACGCCTCTGACGCGTGACCGTTCAGCGCTCGGGGTAGTTTCTAACATCTGCTAACCAAATGGTTGAGATTCAAATTTCTCGGCACTCCTTTGGTTGTAACTTAATAGTTAACCCTGTTTTTGTCCCAGCATATTTGAAAAGTCCAACTTTACAGCATCCGGTCCTATTATCTATTTTCTTCGAAATATGAATTTGGTTTCCCTTGGCGCTCGCTGGGTGGTTTGCAGATGCGAGTGTTTGTTCTGCCCTTAGTTTTTATGTTTATTTCTATTTTATGAATGCGACGAATCTTTACAAAGGTAGGCGGCACGATGAATTATTTCAACGAATTTAGAAATTGATAACTTTGTCGGCTACAGACCTATATTTATAAATATATTGAATGAGCTACCATCTAAGGGTACCCTACCGGCCCATCCACCATTTTGTACAGATAAGTTTACCAACTGAAGTAGATAATAAATATAATAATTGCCAAAAAACGAATAGGAAAATGTATGCGATGTCAGCATTAGCGAACAGTTTGTTGAGTTGATATACCAAGCTGAAACATCTGAAAAGGACCTCGAAATAAATCACTGTTCTCGTTTGAGAGAACGAAACGAAGGCAGGCAAGCAACAACCAACGAACCATTTTCATTTCGCGAAGTAGCAACGGTCGCTTTGTATTTCGCTGGCGTTAGCCAATATTCCTCCGAAAACTAAATTAAAGCAGTCCCAGAAGTTGTAGTAGAAGAAATATTAGCCGACACATCGGTTCACGTCGCGGAGCGTCCCATTGAAATACGGTATCCCGCTAAAGACAAAGAAATATCGTCGAGCGTCTTCAGGCGTCCATCTGTATTCAGACGAACGCTTCTGCCTTTTGCTTGCTGCGGGGTGTGTACTTTCCAACCAGTGCCTTCCCCTTAGTGCGAAAAAGGGGTTTTTGTAATAGAGGTGAGGTAAGGTAATACATCCTGTGACAAAAAGGTAGAGCTCCCAGTAACAATGAAATTCGGTATACTGTTGTACATAAGCAAGAGGAAAATGTGATTAAATTTTAAAGCAAAAACGATAACAGTATCGCTAGAATTCGCTAATGATATTTTAGACCACAATGTTGCCGCATACATTCATCTCTGGCATATGGAGGTTTAAATGATGTTTTACGTTCTTTAGGACTTCTAAGCACATGATTTTTGTTGTCTATAGCCTTCCAAGACCTATGCGCCCTCTCAAACTCAAGTTGTTTATACACCACTGGTTGTCGTTTGATACAATATCCAAGTCATGATTATCCATTAACAGCACTTTGCATGCAGACATTTAGAGTGACTGACACAGTCTTCGCTACAACTAGAGAGAATATTTTTTTAAAACTTCCCTCTTATGGAGGACCTAGAGATTTTCTGTTTGTGATCTGTGATTTTGTTATTGATTAAAAAAATATTAGAAAATAATGTTTTAAAGGCTTACGTTTACTTTGGAGTGTAACGCATCATTTACGTTAGGCGTTCATGAATTGTAGTTTAATTTTATTATTGAAACAATTAGTTCCCCAAAAAGACCTACATACTCCTGATTTGACTATTGGATGCCAAAGCAGAACCTTTAATAAAAATGGTCAATTATCAATTAAGAATGTATTCTTAGGTAAAGATACACAATATATTTCAAATAGATGCATACTTTTAATTCCTTAGCTACAACTATCGCAAGAAAATATACAGGGTATCCCCAAAGTTTGAAAGAAATTGAAGAAAAATACTCACGGCATTTCAACTACTGCCCTGTCACATGGTTTGTTTATAATTGCTGCTTGAAGTTGTCACTGAACGATTCAAAAAATGGAGTTGCTTCTTCGTAAATTTGCAACAGATGAACATTTGGATAATTGTATTGGAATGGCGGTATCAAATTATGCTCCAAACATTTAAAAAAATGTCAGTGAGTCTGAGTGTCAGGCTTCTCATTGAACACGCATCTTTTATCTAGACATTTGTTTGTTTAAAATAGTGCGTTGCTTTTTTAATTTGCAGTTGCCTTTATTAAATCGTATGTGTCATGCCATTGTGGCTGACGAAAAATTTTGTTTATTTTTGAAACACCTACGATTGGTAGGAATGGATGTAATTATGTGGTATGTATTAGTTATTAGTTTATTTAAGTTTATTAGTATGTATTAGAGTTAGTAAAATAAACAGATGTATAGTATGTCGCATACAACTGTGTATAATTTCATTTGAGTTAGCTTACATTGCTTACGACTAGGTAGCTCACTGTAGTGTTCTAAAATTGTCAAAGTAGCTCGACACATTAAAAGGTTGGCGACCACTGGTATAAAGGCTTACCCACAATTATCTATGTAGGTATAATAATGGAAATTGCAGCACTGCGCAAGAACTTTTCACACCATCAAAGCTCTCAATAAGGTGAACGAAGAAAGCATATGTGTCCCGAAAGCGCGTGCGCTCTGCTACGGCGTGGCAGATATCTAGGCTAATATTTACACTTGATAGTAATGCAAGATTAGATACCAGTAGTCCACCTTACGGAAAGAGTCAAGGTTAGTATTTAGTCTTTATAAGCTAATTAAAAAATGAAATACGGAGTCCACTTACTTGACGCCATTTTCTTAACAGTTATACAGCGCTTAGGCGTGTCATTATGTACTCCACTGCCTCCACTGCAATTTCTTATAACGTTCTTCGTGAGCTTGTTGGTTTTGGACGTAAAATACAAAAATGGACCTCGCACACGGGCGTTACACCCTAAAGGGTAGAAAATCATTATTAAAGTTTATTGTTCTTGTATTTACTCGCGCTGGAGAACAAATAGCAACTGCGCTTTCCGGCAAAGTATTAGCTTCCTTCGTGACTTCCTGAAAGCAGTGCTGTCTCTACAGATTAGACTACATAGACTAAGTTTAATCTTCACGGACCTAAGCTCATTATCATTAGGGTTTAGTTTAGAAACCACCGGCTTCGGGTCAACCTTGTTTATTGCCTATACAGGATGATGTCGTAGTAAAGGGTGGCCATCAGTTGGTATTATTTTGACAGTTGGTAACACTTCCATGCTCAACATAATGACATATATATTGTGTCAAACTATGAGCAATGGATCATTTTAATCTTGTAGAAACGTGGGAAATATTGAAAAACTATTTTCAAAGCGGCCTGCTTTTAGACAACAGAAGGTATGAGCGTGTTCGACCCCTACGTACAGCCGAAAACATTGCTGCTGTTGCCCAGAGTGTGCCTGAAAATGCAAGAATGTTAACTCGTCACAGAACACAACAAGTGGGCATCCGTCGCAACTCTGTACGGAGAATATTGCACAACGACCTGCGATTATTTCCTCACAAGGTGCAACTTGTGCAAATGTTGAAACAAAATGACCGTCCGCATCGATATCGTTTCTCTATGTGGGCTCTAAATCAATTGGAAACAGACATCAATTTTGGTCCAAATCATCTTTTCGGACGAAGCCCATTTCCATCTGG